CCAGGCAGCCCCCGGCCAGGTTGCCTGGGACACCCACCCCCACCTCAGGTAACGTGTAGGCCCCGGGCTAGGGGGTGGCGCGAGGAGTCACGTGCGGGTGGGGAGGTCACGTGGCCGATGCCCCCCAACGTTCACTCAGGGGCAACCCCCCCACCCTCCTTGCTGGGGCAGCCCCGCCCCCATTGCCTGCGGGACGAGGGAACAGCCAGTTCCGGGGGGAGGGGTTTGTGCTCCGCGCCCTTCCCGAACCTCCCTCTTTTATTCGGGCTAGGGGGTGGCGCGAGGAGTCACGTGCGGGTGGGGAGGTCACGTGGCCGATGCCCCCCAACGTTCACTCAGGGGCAACCCCCCCACCCTCCTTGCTGGGGCAGCCCCGCCCCCATTGCCTGCGGGACGAGGGAACAGCCAGTTCCGGGGGGAGGGGTTTGTGCTCCGCGCCCTTCCCGAACCTCCCTCTTTTATTCCATCCCACCCCTGAGAGCGGCGCGGCTACGGGCCTGTTCCTCTGATGTCTGTGTCTCACCTCCCCTTCTCCTCTGTGGTCCGGTCCGCTGTGTCCTCCTCCCCTGCTCCAATGGCAGTGGGCTGAACCACGTGAGGACAAAAGGGGGGAGGCCCTCAAAGCGCTATTACTTGATACTCGATTTCCGAGTAATCGATGGGTCTGAAGCGACTGCACCAATCAAGGAATCTGCACTGGATTAGTAGGGCATGTGAGCAGCTGTTCCCGTGGCTTCTGCCTGCCTCTTGGGCCGTGAGGCTGGCTGGCCGCTTCGAATCCCACCCGAGACGCTGAGCGCAGCCTGCTGGAATTTGCTCTCGGGCAGTGGAAATAGTGTCCCTGCTTATCTTGGCGCAGAATGTACAGAGGCCAAAAAGAGGCGTTACGGAAGCAGCAGGCCACATCCCAAGGAGTCATGGAGGTTAACAAAACACAGAGCAAAGTTATATTGAAAAGGAAATTAATAATAATAATAATAAAAAGGGGCCAGGTATAAGATATCCAGAATTAGAAAAGACGTTAAAGAGAAACCAAGAACTCAAAAACACCAGATAAGTAGTGGGGAAACCTATATTTAAAAGAACGCTAGGGTTATACATTCAAAATTAGGACATGCTAGTATGAGGATTTCGTGTCACAAAAATTGTCTTTAATTTAGGGATGTCAAATGTTGTTTACAAATATAACAGTGAAACTGCTAAAATCCAATTGGTTACATGTGCTGCAGCCTCTGTGGTATAAACTGTTTCTAAGATATATATGTTACCATTTAAATGATTAACCATTAAGCCTCAGCTTATCGGTTTCCATTGTAGTTAACTTTTATACTTCAGAGTCCAATGCAAAGCTTCCCTGGGAGAGGGCCAGCACAGGCTGCAGAGGATGGGGAGGCTTTGCTGTGCACTCTGCCTTATAAAAGTTAATCATAACAATCCTGCCTCTACACCTAACTTTTACTACATTTAAGCTGCTGTGGGGGTAGCTCCTGGATCTGGTGCAAGACAGGACTGAGGAAGCCTTCTCTTGTCAACTAATTGTGTAGTTGATAAAAATTGTATCGATTATACTATTAGTGGATTACCCACCTCTTAACATCTTTCACCTAGTTTCAGCAGTTAGCTTGAGGCCTACAAACTTTAATACTGATAAATTTATGTAACTCGCACTCTCCTTCCACTTCCCCCAAATGTAAAGGGAAATTTTGTCCATAATTAGGGATGTTACATTAGGGATGTAAAAAGTGTTGAAAAATAGTAACCAAATAACCGATCAAAATTCCATCTGTTACATGGTTAAATGGGCTGCACGGGCTGCTGGCTCAGCAGGCTCCCAGTTCTCCTCCCACCCCCGATAAATCTGTTAAACTGAGTTACAGTTAATTAAAAATAGGTCTTTTAAAAAAATCTATTTGAAAATTCTTAGTAAAATCAAAATTTACTCAGATAATATGCAATATTTGGGGGACTCTATTTTTCTTATAAAACAAAGATGTTGAATCCTAGAGGTCAGTGAAAAACTGACTGCAATTTAGCTATAGAGGCACTGATTTTTTACTGTAATATCATATGGTGCAACTGGAGCATATATTTTAATTGTATTACTGTATATGCACTTATTTTTTGGGTGAGAAGGAAAAAAAACTTCATACCTATTTCAGAGCTTCCTAGAAAGAAGAGATGACTATGCATTTTTAATCAATTAGGCTGTTAAAATGCTCCTACTAAGCTAGGAATTCTGTTTCCTTACAATTTCTGTAGTTCACTATTTACACTGGGTAATGCTTTTATGATTATCTGTAGGGTATAGAGTTAACAGGCTTATACAATTGAAGTTGTTTTGCATAGTGTCTTTCATTCAAATTGTGGAAGTATTCTTTACCATATGACCATTCCCTTCTGAGTTAGGGATGTGAACTGGTAACCTTAACAGGTGGTGTTTACTGGGTACCAGTATCTGGGAGCAGCTTGCAGCCCACCACTGGTGGAGGGCTGCTCTAGCCCCTCAGGGGTCAGGAGCTGCCCCGCTTTTGCCTCCATTTGCAGGGCTGGGAGCAGAAGCTATGTGTACAATTGTCCATTTTCCCCTAAGATTTTCCATCCTTGTACTTCTAGCATGGTAGCAAAGTTAATGGGAACTTTAGGATAAACAGGCTAATGGTTGGCTAGTTATGTTTTTAATATTATGCTTCCCAGACATGCTTTGAGCAGACTATCACAACATGCTGGAGCATTACCTGTTGTGATCCCTCCCTCTGGGGCATCTGGTATTGGTCACTGTCAGCGGACAGGATACTGAGCTAAATGGACCTTTGGTCTGACTCAGTATGGCCATTCTTATGTTATGTTCTTATACTGGTACTGGGTATCCCTGCTATAAGTCACCCTGGTATACATCTGTTCCACACTAAAGTTGTTGACACTTGTAGGAACTGATGCATTAAGTCACGCAAAAAAATAAAACCTATTTGCACAAATGGAAGTCAGCCACTGGGAAAAAAACATTCCCCGATTTAAGTTGTTTCATTGTAAGTCCAAGTTTTTTGGAACATATCTTGGACTCCTAGCGAGGATGGCCTGTAATAACATTGGTAGCATAATCCCTACATCTACCACAGGTAGAGTGGTGCAGCAGCAGCTGTTTGCTTTGAGGAATTGCTGATGAAGCTTTTGAAACTGAGGGGGAAACTTACCCTCCCATTCCACATTCAGCCGCTGGGTGACTGATCATCTCTTGGAGCAGGCGGGCAGGCGTGCACACGCTAAACATCAGCACCGGCTCACTGGAGAGGACACCTTCTGCCTGTCCCATCGGGAAAAGAATACAATGGCAGCTACGGGGGGGCCCTCAGCGCCACCCCACTCTCGAGCCGTGAGT